GGGCTCCCTCTCCAGCTCAAGGCCTGTCACCAGAGGTGACGCTAACTGGTTCAACACCATCATCGTGGTCTGCTTCCCCTTGCCAGTGACTGGCTTAGCAGCAGACATAAAAACTGACCTTGGAATCTGAGGAAAACTTACAAAGGGGCTTTGTCACTGGCAGAAATGATTAATAAATAATAATTAATTGTTGATAAAAAGTATTTGAAATGATATAACTGCTTTGGAAGGCAGTTTGGCAGAGTCTTATAATCTTACCACATATCCAGTAGTCATTCCGCTAGGTATTTATCAAAATGAGTTGAAAGCTTACATCCAGACAAAAACTTGTACATGCATGTTGACAACACCTTTATTCATAACTGCCAGAGGCTAGAAGCAACCAAGTTATCTTTCAAAAGGTGAATGGAAAAAACAGACTGCAGTGCTTCCACACAGTGAAATACTATTTAGCAATACAAAGAAGTGATCCATCAAGCCACAAAAAAACATGGAAGAATCTTATATGCATATTGCTCAGTGAAAGAAACCAATGTGAAAAAGTTACATACTGCGTAATTCCAACAGTAAGACATTCTAAACAAATAACCCAATCAAAAAATGGGAGGAGGACCTGAATAAATATGTCTCCAAAGAAAAAACTGAGGTAGCCAAGAGGCACATGAAAAGGTGCTCCACATCACTAGTCATCAGGGAAATGCAAACTAAAACCACAATGAGCTATCATCTCACACCAGTTAGAATGGCCACTATTCAAAAGACAAGAAATAACAAATGCTGGCAAGGGTGCAGAGAAATAGAAACCCTCCTACACTCTTGGTAGGACTCCAAATGGGTATAACTGCTGTGGAAAGAAGTTTGAAGGTTCTTCAAAAAACTAAAAAGAGAAATACCATTTGACCCAGTAATTCCACTCCTAGGAATCTACCTAAAGAAAACAAAATCCCTGATTTGAAAAGTTATATGCACCCTTATGTTTATCGCCGCACTGTTTGCAACAGCCAAAATATGGAAGCAATTTAAGTGTCCATCAATACATGAATGGATAAAGAAGATATGGTACATATACATACAATGGAATATTATTCAGCCATAAGAAAAGAAATACTGTCATTTGGAACAACATGGATGGATCTAGAAAGTATTATGCTCAGTGAAATAAGACAGGCAGAGAAAGACAAAAACCATATGGTTTCACTTATTTGTGGAGTATAAAAACAAAGCAAAACAGAAGGAACAAAACATCATTAGACTCACAGACACTGAGAAGTGACTAGTGGTTGCCAAGGGGGAGGAGACTGGGTGGGGAGGGGGGAGAGGAAGGGGGGCTGTTGAACCACTGTGATGTACATTTGATTTTTTTAAAAAAAGACATTCTAGGAGAGATAAAACTATAGAGACAGTAAAAAGATCAGTGATTGCCAGGCGCTCAGTGGATGGGGAGAAGAGGGAGGAATGAGTAAGTGGAAAATGGGATGTTTGGAGCAGTGAAAATATTCTGTATGATACTCCAATGGAGCATATATGACATTATGCATTTCTCAAAACCCATAGAATTGTATAACACAAAGCCAGAACCCTAATGTAAACAAGGAACTTTAGCTAATAATGCATCAATATCAGTTCATTAATTATTTTAGAAATGTACCATACTAATGCAAGATATTGCTAAAAGGAGAAACTATAAGGAAGGGGGATGTTAAAGGAACTCTGTACAGTCTGACCAATTTTCCTGTAAACTGTAAAGTGGTATAAAAAATAGTCTAATAATTAAAAAAAAGATTTGCAGGAAAAATAACACCTTTTCCTTGGCATTACCATTTTTGTCAGAGTGGAACTGATGGCAGAGAAATGGAAAGTGCTGGGTCCTTGATGATACTGAACTGGTGAATTAAGGAATCCTCTACATTCATCCTTATTGTGTGAGATAACAACTTCCCTACAGTTTCATTTCTTTCATTTGGGGGATCAATGTTACTTGCAGACTAAAGATATTTTAACTGAGAGAACATCTAACCTCTGAATAAAACTGTACAAAAAAAGAAGAACATATTCAATAAGCAGAATGGATTTAATCCAATGCAGGATTAAATCTGTTCTCCTTGAGATGAGATACTGGAGCTTCACCTATTCAAAAATAATGAATTCAAAATACTACAGTAGTACTTTTGTAGTCACTTTACATGCTTAGATTTACAGATACAACTTCTTAAGTATCCTTAACTCCCCAGAAGAACACATAGGTCTGCCAAGATGTAAAGCCACTTCTCTTACTTGCTGGCTGTGTGAACTTCCATAAATTACTTAACTTCTCTTGTGCCCCAAGTTTTTTGCATGTGTAAATGAAGATTAAAAATAGAACGATGCCCATAAGGTGGTAGTAACCAAATGAGAGAATCCACGAAAATGGCTGAATGCTGTGCTCAGCGCTTAGTAAGATTTCAGCATTAGCCCTACTGCTGCCAAAATCTGACATAATCTGAATTAGATTATGTTTGAGATAATTCTGAGTACCAGGTACATAGTAACTGCTCAGTCAGTGGTAGGTATTATTATTATCATTACTATCATTATTAACTACTAGCTGTTACCAAGTGACATACACATAGGGTACATAACATGGTGGAGAATTTCCAGATTGTTCCTTTATTAAATCAAAATCTAATATCACTTAAATAGGGTGATTTGCATAACTTTATTAACAAAGGTTGTTTCTTGGCATTTCAGGGTTTTCAAAGGCTGAAATATTTCATTTCCTTTCATTTCACATTTAATTCCCCAGAAACAACTAGAGAGTTTCATTTCCCTTCATTTTATATAAAACTCCCCAGAAACAAACTCCAGAAATTATTAGAAGTTCTAGATAGTTCTGTAACCATATTCCCAAACAGCTGCTTCTCCTTATAGAGAACAAGAGTACACAAAATTGAATATATGTTCACTTGCTTTAAATTATTTCAAATCAAGTTTAATTGGGCGAAGTAATGGCTGTCAATAAAGTAGAAAGCATGCTACTTGGATCTAACACTTCTTGACACCTGCTATCTTACCAGCAGGGAGATACTTACTTGAAAAGAGAATTCTTGGGCCTTTGAGGTTTCTTCTTGGCAAAAAAGGCTGCAAACTCTCGTCCAGTGCTAGCATAACTTAGTTGAGCCGACGGTTCAGAGGCTGTACGAGTATTTTTCATGTCCAAGTACTCAGTCAACAGCATCTGTACAATCAATAAACATTTACTATATACATTTATGATGTGCTTGAAAAATAATTTTAAAATCATGAAAACCTAATTCTAAGATGTCAACCTTGACATTCAGAATTATGTTATTTTAGCTATTCATGTCTAGTTGTAGACCTGAAGAAAGACTCATTAGAGGCAGAAAGTGATCCATTTGCTATCTATTCCTAAAACTGGGAACAGTGTATTTGAACATGGGGGTAAAGGGAACAGTCTGAGGGCCTACTGTGTGCCGGGCCCTGTGCTGAGTGAGTTGGTTAATCTTCTCCTTCGGTCATAACTAAATCCTCATTATCCCATTAGACAGCAGCTACGCCTTCACTGAGGGCTTACTAGTTCCCCCGTAAAGGGCTAATCCATTTAGATGTATTATCTCATTTAAACCACAAAATTTTATCAGATAAATTCTCAGATTATAGATAAGGAAATGAGGCTCATCAGCAGGCTCAGGAGTTGCAAAGTGAACCTGGTGGTCTGACTCTGGAGGCGGTGCCCTAACATTCCTCTGATAGGACGACAGACGAGCATCCAACAAACCTGCTGAGGAGTGGGGTGGGCTAAGAGGTCCTGGCCCACGCACCGTTTCTAGGACCGCTACTTATCTTGAGAGCTTCAAAGCAAGAAAAGTAACAGGATTTTTTTATCACAGCTTCCAGTAGGTCACGCTTATAAAATCAACCCACTTTAGAGCCTCAGGAGTGGAGCCTGTGCTAGAATCAGTGGTTCTATTTCTAAGACAAGCTTTCTAAAAAGTTCCCACAGTTGTGAAAGAAAATAACGGACCTTGAACAGAAATCACCATGGTTCCTGAGGATATCTAACTGGGACTAAAGTATATCAATTCATTTCTATTAACTACTGACCATACTTAACACTTTAATATAACCACATGGTATATATAGTACATGTAAGCCAGCAATACTACCCATGACCAAAGTAAAAGCTTTTCAAAGAGTCAGGGTTCCATTCAGCCCTGCATGCATGTATATATTAATTCATTCAATGATTCAACAAAGATTTGAAAGCCATATTAAGTATTATAAAGAAAGATTTATGAAGCACTCAGGAACACGATATTGCCCCAAACAAATTTTAAAGCCAAGGATGTCCCTGTTACACACACATACACATTACTGAGTACTTATCAAATGTCAGACATTTCAGAAACATGATTTTATTCAATCCTCAAATCTATGAAGTAAGTTACTATCTGCACTTTAAAGACAAGAAAACTGAGAAGTAGTGGTATTAAGAAACTAACCTGTATGTACCATAGGGCAGGAATTGATGGGAAATCTCTGTACCATCTGCTCAATTTCACTGTAAACTTTAAGCTGGTCTTTAAAAAATGTCAATTTTTTAAAAAGACAATGGCCTGAGGTCTTATAATCAGAGAACAACAGGCTAGGATTTCAAACCAGGTTGAGTTGACTCCAGAGCATGTGCTTTTCCCTATGTCACTCTACCCTCACTAAAGGCATAAGAACTGCCAATGAGAGTAGCTTGGGTGGCAGTAATTATTTATTTCATTTTCAGTACAAAAGAGATTTCACTGGGAAACTATAAAACATGTTTACAGATTGGTCCATTTTTTTCTTTATTTATTTACCAAGCTGCTGGAATATTATTCAGGATGGTGATGAAGTAATATAATGACAAATATTATCTTTCCTAATGCATCACCCAAACTGCCCAATAGTCAGGGAGAATATTGAACTGGGTCTTTATCTCCAGGAAACTCAACTGAGGGGCTCAATTATATTGTAGATTTGGCACTGATACTAATGTAGTTTGCAGGAATCTGTCATCAAACGTCTAGTTACTAGACAACTAGTAAACCAGAACAGAATTTCAAACTCAAATAACAGAGAAAAATATCTATAAATGCACTGCTTTCACTCAAGTTTCACTTTGGTTTTAACACCAAAATTATGTCAGAAATATATTTCTACCAAAGTATGAAGATACCCTAAACCCACTAATTCTTTGAGGTACTTATTGTCCTAGAAGTCAATGACTAGCCCTGTACAATGAAATACTGACTGGCCAAGGCCTAACCGAACAGCACCCTTAAGACTCAGGTATTTTAAGATCACATTCCTTTTCTCCACACAAACAAAGTATCCTTAGTTATTCCCTCTCGGTATTGTTGTTAGGCCATCCCTGTGCGCTGGCTTTTCTCTTTCCTCCTACAGACGTTTACTCTTTGCACCTTCTCAGCAAAAATATTGCTTTGGCCCTCATGCTCCAGCTATTGTCTTATTTCCCTTTTGTCTTTAGGTTTCAAGCTTCAAAAGCCAGTGTTTACATGCCATACATTTACTGGCAAAATCAACTCTAAATTCTGATGCCTAAATCAACTCCCCATAAAACCAGAAATTCCTTGAGTCTTCTTTGTTAGTAGTTTTTTTTTTTATTAGGCATCATTGATATACAATCCTATAAAGGTTTTACATGAGCAGCATTGTGTTTATTACATTCACCCATATTATCAAGTCCCCCCACACACACCCCACTGCATTCACTGTTCACCAGCATAGTAAGATGCTATAGTCACTACTTGTCTTCTCTGTACTATATATACTGCCTTCCCAATGACCTCCCGACATTATGTGTGCTAATCATGCCCCTTAATCCCATTCTCCCAGCCTCCCCCACCGACCCTCCCCAACTCCCTCCTTTTGGTTACTGCTAGTCTCTTCTTGGAGTCTGTGAGTCTGCTGCTGCTTTGTTTCTTCAGTTTTGCTTTGTTGTTATACTCCACAAATGAGTGAAATCATTTGGTACTGGTCTTTCTCTGCCTGGCTTATTTCACTGAGCATAATACCCTCTAGCTTCATCCATGTTGTTGCAAATGGTAGGATTTGTTTTCTTCTTATGGCTGAATAATGATCCATCGTGTATTGTACCACATCTTGTTTATCCATTCATCTACTGATGGACACTTGGGTTCTTCCATATTTTGGCTATTGTAAATAGTGCTGCGATAAACAGAGGGGTTCATACGCCTTTTTGAATCTGGGATCTTGTTTTCTTTGCGTAAATTCCTAGAGAGAAATTCCTGGGTCAAATGGTATTTCTATTTTTAGTTTTTTGAGGAACCTCCACATTGCTTTCCACAACAGCTGAACTAAGTTACATTCCCAATAATAGTGTAGGGGAGTTGCCCATTCTCTGCATCCCTGCCAACATTTGTCGTTTCTTGTCTTTTGGATGTTAGTGAACCTAACAGATGTGAAGTGATATCTCATTATGGTTTTAATTTGCATTTCTCTGATAATTAGTGATGTGGAGCATCTTTTCATGTGCCTGTTAACCATCTGAATTTCTTCTTTGGAGAAGTGTCTGCTCAGATCCTTCACCCATTTTTTAATTGGGTTATTTGTTATTTGGGTGTTGAAGCATGTGAGCTCTTTATATATTTTGAATGTTAACCCTTTATTGGATGTCATTTACAAACATATTCTCCCATACTGCAGGATGCCTTTTTTTTGTTCGGCTGATGGTGGTGTCCTTTGCTGTACAGAAGCTTTTTAGGTTGATGTAGTCCCATGAGTTCATTTTTGCTTTTGTTTTCCTTGCCCAAGGAGATGTGTTCAGGAAAAAACTGCTCATGTTTATATTTAAGAGATTTTGCCTATGTTTACTTCTAAGAATTTTATGGTTTCATGACTTACATTCAATTAAGGTCTTTCATCTACTTTCAGTTTGCTTTTGTGTATGGATCTAGACAATAATCCAGTTTCATTCTCTTATATGTAGCTGTCCAGTTTTGTCAACACCAGCTGTTTAAGAGGCTGTCATTTCCCCATTGTATGTCCATAGTTCCTTTATCATATATTAATTGACCATATGTGATTCAGTTTATATCTGGGCTCTCTATTCTGTTCCACTGATCTATGGGTCTGCTCTTGCACCAGTACCAAATTGTTTTGATTACTGCAGCTTTGTAGTAGAGCTTGAAGTTGGGGAGCATAATCCCCCCAGCTTTATTCTTCCTTCTCAGGATTGCTTTGGTTACCTGGAGTTTTTTGTGGTTCCATATAACTATTTATTCTAGTCTGCTGAAGAATGATGTTTGAATTTTGATGGGGAGTACACTGAATCTGTAGATTGCTTTAGGCAGCATGGCCATTTTGACAACATTAATTCTTCCTATCCATGAGCAAAGGGTATATTTCCATTATTGGTGTCTTCTTTCATTTCTCTCATGAGTGCCTTATAGTCTTCAGGGTATAGGTCTTTTATCTCCATGATTAGATTTATTCCTAGGTATTTTATTCTTTTTGATGCAAATGTAAATGGAATTGTTTTCCTGATTTCTCTTTCTTCTAGTTCATTGTTAGCACATAGGAATGACACAGATTTCTGTGTGTTAATTTTGTATCCTGTGACTTTGCTGAATTCAGTTATTAGTTCTAGTAGTTTTGGGGTGGATTCTTTAGGGTTTTTTAAGCACAACATCATGTCATCTGCCAACAGTGACAGTTTAACTTATTCCTTACCAATCTGGATGCCTTTTATTTCTTTGTGTTGTCTGATTGGCATGGCTAGGACCTCCAGAACTATGTTGAAAAAAGTAGGGAGAGTGAGCATCCTTGTCTTTTTCCCTATCCTAGAGGAACAGCTTTCAGCTTTTTGCTGTTAATTATGATGTTAGCTGTGGGTTTATCATATATGGCCTTTATTATGTTGAGGTGCTTGCCCTCTATACTGAGAATTTTTATCATGAATGGATGTTGAATTTTGTTGAATGCTTTTTCAACATCTATTGAGATGATTATGTGATTTTTGTCCTTCTTCTTCTTGATGTGGTATATGATGTTGATGGATTTTTAAATATTGTACCATCCTTGCATCCCTGGAATAAATGTTACTTGATCATGATGGATGATCTTTTTTATGTATTTTTGAATTCAGTTTGCTAATATTTTGTTGAGTATTTTTGCATGTATGTTCATCTGGGATACTGGTCT